TTCGAGGTTCTCGAACGAGTAGGCGAGGTCGCGTATCGTTTAGCTTTACCTCCCGAGTTATCAGGCATTCATAATGTATTTCACGCATCTATGTTGCGTAAGTACGTGTGTGACCCCGATCACATTATTCCTCATTCAGATATTCAGATTCAGTCAGATCTTTCGTACGAGGAGCGACCGGTAGCTATTCTAGACCGTCAGGTTCGTTGGCTCCGGAAGCGAGACATTCCCCTCGTGCGCATTCAGTTGGATCGCCACGGAGCTACTTGGGAGGAGGAGTCCGATATTCGCGCTCGTTTTCCAGATTTTCAGTTTTGATGTATTTTCATGTATTTTCAGTTATGTTCTGAATTTCCGAGGACGAAAATTTTGTAAGGAGGGAGGATTGTAATATATCGACTTTTTATCAGTATAAATTATATTTTTGTTCCGATATTATTTTTAGGAATTAATTATTTTCAGTTATTTCAGTAGAAATTACCGGAAATTATTTTCGACGTACCGTTTACGTTCGAAATAATTTTGGTAATTAAGTATTATGCTTAATTGAATAATTAAGCAAGTCATGGTGATTAATCGATAATTAATCTCAGTTAGCTAAGTAAAGCCGTGAGAACTTGTGCGATTTTCAAGCTTAAGGCCGTGTGATTAAGTGTGTATATGTTAGTGAATTTTTGATCCCATTTCATGTTGATTGTCGTGCACTATGTTACTAATCATGCTAGATAGCCGTGCATTCATGTGTATTTTTGTGCATATGGTTGTCTTGTAGTAGTGTGCATTGGAACTAGCATAAGTCAAGAGGAGAATTTGTCATTATTCCAAAGTGCATTAACTTGAGCATATTCTTACAAAAACCGAGCATAGTAGTCATGTGCATAGCATTCGGTTTCCTCATGCACTTAGGAATTGTTAGATTATTTAAACCCTTGTGTTTGGAGCTTAGTGCATGTCATGTTGTCTTTTAGTGTGTAGTATTAGTGTATTAGTCCAAGATTCCTTCCTAATTTTTCTAAATGCCGTGCTTGTAAGTGTATATTGGTTCATGCATTTCTTCCCCTTGTGCTAGCACATTCACGTGAGTATGAGGGAGAGAAGGGTAGCATGGTGGCCAAGTATCCAAGCCATTGTCCTCTCATGAGCATTCGGTTTTATTTATGTTTTGTTAAGATGGAGACTTTGCTCCATTTTTCTCCTCCAAGTGCCGAGAGTTTGAGAGATATGGTGAGCATTGTGTGAGTTGTGTATATTTTCGGAGTGTATTTTGTGAGTGTTGTACGTGAGCATTGCCAAGAGTACCGTCGCGCAAGCCATCCGCACGCACCGTAGCTTATCGCACGAGACGCACGCACGCGGGGTTCCTCAACGGCCGAGAGCTCGAGAGTTCGAGAAGTTAGTCCCTAGGGCTTAACAAGAGGTAAGTTCCCGACGGTTGTTGACCGAGCCTATCATGTTTACTTAGTTCGACCTTCCCGTTAATAGCATGCATGCGTGTTATGTGCGAGAAGCCTTAGCCGTGCCAATTATTGTCATGTTATAACTTATTTTCTCCGAACCATCCTCGCATATTTAGCTTTTATTTGCAAAATCATGTTTAGTTTAACTTAAGTGTTCGGATGAATTTAGTCATGTTGATGGAGTTTGGTCGAAGGAGTGTGGTCGCACACTTAGTGCGCACCACGGACCACCCGAGTGCTATTGCATGTTAAGTTCGAACCTTTAATCATTGTGTGTTATCATGTTCAGCAAGTCATGTTCAAGTTCAGTAAATTCGAAATTGCCGAGAGAATATGAGTATCGGTCGTTAAATGGCACGACGCCGTCGGCGGCGCACGGCGCGCCCGCCGCGGCCATAGTTAGTCCTTCACGTGAATCTTCATGTTTTCAGTATATTTATGTTCATATGTTCATGTCATGTTATTTGAAGTCAGTTTGTTCGGAAGTTAT